CTAGTAAATGAAATCTTTCATGTACCCTATTTTCATATGGATATTTTTATTTGCAACTAGATGTCTTCCTTAAAATGTTGCTTTCTCCATATTTCACATAAGTGGGTAACAAAACCCATGAGTCCATCATCATAATATGCTGATTTGGTTGGTTCACATAATTTAAAGCCTGTGTTCTAATTTTTTTATTATAATTGTCAGCCACCTAGAATTTTCATCAGTTGCTAACAGATTATGAGAAAGACAATTTGAGTAGCTAACACTCCTCTTAAAGACATTTGGTTTATCATCTTGAAATACACTATCAAAACCTTGTTTCATTTGGAGATTGTGTATGACAAACTGAGTCTAACAGCTATACATGTTTACTACTGGTTTTATATATATATATATAGGTTATTAGGTGACCACCAAGGCCTATAAGACTTCCTATTCTTGGATCAAATTGATTTCTTCTTTTCTAATTTGGCTTATTAATCGTTTCTTGAATTATTATTTCTTGATACAAATACATTTATAGTAATACTTTGTAAATAGAATATAATAGAAAATACTATTAAAATTTGGCTTTCCTACTTATTAAAATAAATTAGATTCAAACATGTTATACCATATTAATTTTTCTTTCTCTTTGTTAACTTCTCCTCTGTTTCATAGACTCATTCTTCTCTACCTCTATAAGGAATATGTTGAATGTGTTTAGGAAGTGTCCTTTTGTTTGTGTAATGCTTTAAAACATACGATTGCTTTGTGAAAATTGTAAAGCTTACATTAAATGTAGAAACACTTTATTTTAGTTATTTCACTGTTCTGTATACTTTCTGAGACTCATTCATGTTATCATGCACATTAGCATGAATTTGGCACAGTTATCCATAGTTAAACTATGAACTCCCCAAAGATGGTGATCCACATTGCTTCCAACTCCTTAAATAACAAATAATCTTTTATAGTCTTCAATAAGAACTCCTTTAGGTTATAACCAAGAGAGGCATTGCTAGATTGTAGGGTAAGTAGCAAGCATTGCTAGACTATTCTCCTAAACATTTGATCAAATTTATTATACCAGCAATGCAGCAGGTTTCCCAAATATTCATATTCTATCAATACTTTCTGTTGCGTGGCTTCTTAATTTTTTCCAAACAGGAGTAAAAGAATAATTTATTATTTTAATATGCTTTTTTCTAATTTATTAAAATAGACTATTTAGGCTTTGAGATTCCTCTGTTATAAAACACCTGGTCACACTCTTTGCTCATTTTTTTCGATTGAGGTTCTTCCTGTTCTTGATGATATGTAGGAGTTCCATGTATCTTCTAGTATTTTCTTCTTGTCTATTTTAGTCAGCAAATGCCTTTTTCCAATCTAATATCTATCTACTAACTTTATTCCTGGTGTCTTTGGTAAACAAAACGCCTGAATTTCAATGTAGTCAAATGTATATTTTAAAAATCTCTTGATTGTATATGCCTTATGGATTTTATTTCAAAAATCTTTTTCTAACTGTGGGCCATATAGATGTTTTTCTATATTGTCCTCCATTAAATTTATGTTTTCACCACCACAATAAAGATGAACCCATATAGAGACTACTTTGTGACCTATGGTGCTAAGTAGGAGACCAGTTTTATTTTCCTCTAGTAATGAGACTATTTTCTCCATGTCACCATTCAATAATTTCTCCTTTTCCTTGTAGTATCTGATGCCACTTATCAGCTATTAAGTTCCCATTTATACATAGTCTCTCTCAAGTTCTAAGTTAAAGTTCATCAGTGCATTTGTATGTTCTTGTGCAAAATCTACACTAGAAATTCTTAGCAGGCCCACCTGACATTTATCAAATATATTCCAGTATGTTTGACCTCAGATCAGGAACCCCCATCTTACCAAATGTGACCTAAGATATTACTCCAATATGCCAAAAAATATTAAGAATAGAACAAGAAAAGGAAAGAATGACTTGCCAAAAAAATGTCCAAATGTACTGAGGATACAAGGGCGGACAAAAAAGAGACAGACTGTTAAAGTAAGGAAAATATAGTCTTCATGAGAAAGAAATATTAGTTAACCATTTACTCAAAGAAATTTAACATGGTACCTGTGACAAGTGCTCTTATTTAGAGGCAGTAGTTTAATGAGGAAGATTTGATCTGATAATGGAAAAAATAAAAGTTGACATTTGTAGACTGGTGTTAACCAGTCTGGAAGGGTGGAAGAAGACTCCAGGCAGAGGAAAGAGCAAGTGCAAAGCACTTGCCTTATGAGAAGGAGCCTCATAAGCAAGGGTCTGAAAAAGTACAGATGTATTTGTGTGCAGCGATATTTATAGGTACAGGAGCATTTAGAAGTCACATCCTCTACCTCCCAACCGTCCCAAGTACACTGTATTTCATTGAGGCTCATTTTGAAAAGCAAACTTCAAAGAAATATGTATAGCATTAGAAAATAAATATTATACTTAAAATTTAAAAACCTTTCTCACATTGGAAAAGAATTCCTTTGAAAAATTAGTGTAAATTTCAAATGGCACACAAGTAATACAAATTGCACCATCTCATCTAGTGAAGAATTTGTTCCAGAGGAGATCAGGGATTAGTGTTGAGTAGAAGGGGATTTGGAGGTGTTAATGAATTATTTCTCTGCCCCCATCTCTAATGTAACTAGACAATGTCTTTCAATCTTGCTTTATTTTCTCCCTTAGGTTTGTGTCTTCCTTGCTTTTGAGTTCCATTCTGTTACATACCATGCCCAGATAGAGTCTCCCTGAAGACTACATCTGTCCATGTGAGTCCCTCTTCCACAGGCTCTGGCAGTGAGGGACCAGTAGGAATCAGGGGGTATTGTCTCTATTATTAACACGTCCATAGTAAGGGGAGTTTTGTTGACTTTAATGGGTTTAGTTTCTGGCTTCTGAAATTAGAAAATGTTGAAGCTACGCTGGGTAGGTTTGATCATAGGATGAGTTGCAGATTGTTTCTCTTTTTAAGGATGCTCTGGATCTGACATCTCACTATCTCTATGAAATGAGGGCTTGTTTCATAGTCTAATCTAAATACATTCAGTAAATTGGAATACTTATTTAGAGTAAGTTGTTTTTAATTTTTTTCATTGTTAAACAATTTTTCTTCATGAAACCAACAAAAATCGCCATTTTAATAGCCTCAGTTATCCAGTGTGAGAGATGACAATAAATACCCAAGATGATTCTTGTTAAAAGGCTCTTCAGCCCTTTTCTGGAATGAGGAAAAACATGATCCATCCTTACAGCATTAAGGTAGGCAAGAGTTTGGAAATGTCCCATTGTCAAAGGCCATGATGACAGTCTGACTCGATTTTCTGGAAGCTGAAACTACCTTGCTTCTGTGTTTTCTGGATTACATCATTATTAATAGGATGACAGTTGTTTATGAAATCATTTTTGGAAAAAAACATGAGGGTTAAAAATATGGAAACAAAAACATGACAACTCTAGTCTCACACTGATGAGCCAGGCTTACTTTACTAGCAAAGGTTCAGTGATAATTTTATGGCTATGGAGACAATAGAACAGCTAATTATGAGGCAGTCATTAATAAAACAGAGCATGGAATTAAATACACCTGATGTACGGTATATAACGTTGAACCTTAACTTTGAGTGTAAATATATACTGTATTAGAATTATTCTGACTCTGTGCCCAGTGGTATTAGGATGGTTGGCTCTTCAAACAAGTTTCCTCCAAACATCCCTGTGGAGATTTAAACCAAACAAATGGAGGAGACAAGTTTCTCCTTTGTGGTCAGACTTACCTGGTTTTAAGTGGGTAATTGAAAAGAGGTGGTGAGGATGAGTCAGAATGCCTTGTCATTGCTTTCAGCAGAGCTGAAAGCATACAGCTTTCATACTTTAATCTTCCTGATTAAGTGTCCCAATAATTTACCAGTTTAAGTGCACTTCACATCAAAATGTAAATTACTCCATCCTTTTTTGACTTCTCACTGAGAACTCTGGTTTTGATGACAGTGAAGAGAAAGAATTCTGCACTAGATGTTCAGGTGTCCAATACAGGAGAAAAGTTATAAGAAAACCTGTGGTTGGCTTCATTTGTAACAAGGGAGGTTCTAGGAGAAAATCAGTAACTCCTATGTGACTGGGACATCAGCTGAAGTTTTCTACGGTTCACTCACCCTTGGTTTTTGTTTCTTCCTATAGCCCTGATTCATTGACTTTATTTATGCATGTCTTAGTACTTCCCTGAATGAATGCATTCTTGTATCACTTTCAGTCTTATATCACTGACTAGGAAATTTCTAAAACTTTCAACCCTGAAGCTCCTTGTGCCACAGATGAAAGTCTTGTCCGAAATGCTTCTGAGTATCTGTAGGAATTTTATTGCAGAAAAGAATGTGTAAAATAGTCTCCCTGAAGTCTGCAGGACTTAGGGCAGAGGTGACAGATAATGAAGCATCTTCAGCCCTGGACAGTTTTTGTGGGTCTGTAACTGCCCCCAGGGCAGGGACGTTAGCAGGCCTAGAGGACAGTGGACTGGGCGGGGCCTGGGCAAGCGGCGCTCAGGAGTGAGTGAGTCTCGGTACAGTCAGGGCTTCTGATGGGCAGGGCCAGTTGCTAATCCAGCCAGGCGGACACCGGGGCGGGGGGGGCAGATGGGGCATATAGGTGGCGTTCGCTGGTGAGAAACACCTAGCTCTGGTAAAAGGGTGGTGGCAAAGGGGAGTTCCCACCTGTTGAGTTCTTAGAGAAATGAAGACTTAAGAAAATAGCAAGGAGGGGCCGATCGGTGTCTTTGGACGAGCCTGGAGCCCCACCCTCGGCCAGAGGAAAAGCCCCTGGGGTGAGAGGCAGGCGCTCCAGAGAAACTGGGAAGAAAAGAAGCGCCTGTCCGCGCGCTCCACCTCTGCCGGGCTCCCCGCGCTGCGGACCCAGCCTGCACCCCAACGCCCGGCCGAATCCTTCTTCGCCGGCCTCCGGGTGCCTTGGCCGACAGGCGACTTGTCCTCGAGTCCTGTCCATGGCGGCAGCCGGACCCACAAGCTCCGGGAGCCTGGCCCTCTGCCGGCAACTCCTGCTGTCCCTTACGGTGAGTACAGCAGGGGCCACCGGCTAGGGAGGACGGTCCTATCGCCAGGGGAGAAGGGGGAAACCTGCGGAGCAGGGGTGGCCCGCACAGTTGGGGTTAAAGGGCCTCGTGATGGCTAAAAATGGAGTTGGTGGCGGTGGGGGAGGGCCGACAGGAAGAGGAGCTCGACCTGGGCGCCACGATCCGATCCCAAGGCGAGGGCAGGGTGTCTGGGGAGATGTAATCAGCGCGCGCGGCTGGGGACGGAGGCGGGAGCTGCGAACGCCCAGCCAAAACCGTGGCCTCGGGGTGCGCACCGGGAAGCGGGGTGCGCCGGAGCTGCTCCTTGCTCCGCGCCTCTCCAAAGTCCCCTAGTGCGTTTCCACCTTTACCTCAGTGCCGGGTTCAGGCCACCCAAAGGGCAGCCATTGTGCTGGGCGGACCAGACTGAAAACGAGTGTCCTTGGGTTAAAGAGGCGACTCCTCACCTTTCTGTATATTGATCTTGGTGTGGGTGTTGGGGGAGGGGGCGAAGATGAGCGGGAATGTAGGAGAGTCAATCCTCTGATCCTAAACACCAAACATGGGCTTGCCCTAGGTGACCAATTGTTTGGTCTCCATTGTGAGCTTGAGGCTTGGGTCCTCTAAATCTTTGGGGGAATCGATATCCTGGTCCTGATCTCATCCTCGGAGGTGTCTGGACCCCTACCCCCTTGCTCCATATTATTTCCCAATTTAAGGAGCACAACAACAACGTCCTCACCCCTTTCCAGAGGTGGGAGCCAAAGAAGTGACCTTATTTGGGATGGATTAGCCCCCTTCAGGGCAGAAAAGCTGGGATCTCGCTTAGGGAGTTAGAAGACACAGGAATGCAAACCTAGGCAGTAGCCCCAGGGAGGGTCTAGGATCAAAGACGCCTCAGACTGGACTTTTCCTGCGGCCCCTGGAAAAGGAGAAAAGTTTCACTGAGGAGGTTCATAAAAGCGATCATCTTCACAGTGTCCTTTCTCCTTGAGCCTGAAGCATTGGGGCCACGTTAACCCTGAAGGACATAGAAACAACAGAGGGCCCATGATCCTTTCTGGGAGTGGTGGAAGTGAGGGGCTGAAATATTCGTATAACTTCTCCTCTACTTTGATTTCACAAAGGTTTCCTACATTTTTGGGTGATAAATTGTAGTCGTTACTGTTATGAGAATGTCTTTCCCAAGGAACTGAATGGACTTCAGACCTTTCACCAGAATTCCCAGGGCATATTAATAACATAGGAAGAGCCAAGCAGTTAACATTTTATAGCCGTGGAAACTAAGAATGGAATAAATAACAATTACAAAATATGTTGCTGAAGATAAGAGTGAATTTTGGTTTGGTACCTAATAACGTTACCATTTTTTATTAATCCACTGCCTATTATTGTTTAAAGAAAACACGTGCTTGTTTAGGCACTGCAAATAAAATAGCACCGCTGTTATAAACCTGCACTCAAAACTTTCTGCCTGGTTTCTCAGATCTTTGTTTTAGAATATCACAGGGCATAAGTGAATTGAATTGAATTGAATCCCGATTCCTTGATCTTCCTCAGTTTCAGGGTTTAATAGGCCAGGAGTGAGGTAGAGAGAAAGAGAACTGAATTGGCAGCACCTAGTCCCCTTCTTCTTTCAAGCTGGAAGGCTTACCCCCAAGTTGTTTTACTTTTTGGTTTACATCTGGTGTAAAGCCTTACCAGTTTCAGGTGGGTGTGTCAATTGTGTAAAGACTGAGTGTGAGATTATTCAGCTAGAATGACTTTAAGGGGTGGGGCATCTTTTACATTACCTGCTTCCCATACACCCTGGTTAATCCTCCACCAACCCACAAAGTAGCTTTTTTCTACTCCCTACTATTGCTCACTGCATGCATGTCTTGCCCACTTGAGTTTTCTCCTGTTTGACTGCCTAATGCAGCTTTGTTCTCTAAGGCCATCAGGGAGTTCCCCTGCCAAATCCAAGTGACATTTTTTGTTATTTATACAGTTCTACCCTGTTTTTGTGCCTTTATTCTTGAAAGTCACTATCATTTTGATCTTTCTCACAATCTGACTCCTTACACAGTTCCTTTTATTTTTTACTGTGTATGATTAAAAACACACAAGATCTGCCCTCTTAACAAATGCTTAAGTGTACAGTGCTGTATTAGCTACACGTACGGTGTTATACAGCAGATCTCTAGAAGTTTTTCATCTTGCATAGCAAAAACTTTATACCTATTCAACAGCAAATCCCCGTTTTCCACCACACCTCAGCCACTAGCAGCTACTCTTTCTTCTGTTTTCTGTTTCTATGAGTTTGACTACTTTTTCCTTCACTCTTAAATGCTGATTTCTTTGGGACACTATTTTAGGTCCTGCCCTTTGGGAATTTACTCCCTTTTCCTAGGCCATTTCATCCACTTTATGGCTTAAAATATCATACAGATGCCAACACATCTGAAATTAATATTGCTACATCAGATAATGGCCATTGAACAATAGGCCTTTATATTTCTCTGTGTAATATAATGTGTGACACAGCATTTGTTATCTTCCCAAACAGTGCTGTTCTTTTTTAGCGTCTTATATTGCACCACATAACACTTCCGTTTGCCTTGTTCCTTGAGTAGAAGTCTGGAAGCTGTTTATTCTTCCTTTCCCCTAATTCCTCAATAAATCTACATTCAAAGATACCTCATGGATCTGTTTACTTGTATTTATCACTTCTGCTACTAATTTTTGCTATTACAAATAACATCACAGTGAATAAATTTGGCCATATGTCATTTCATATATGGTCAGTTGTGTCAACAAAATAGAGTTAATAGTCAATAAAAATATTGACTATATAATTTTGGTAGATACTGCTTTTCCCTTCATAAGGTTGTATATGACTAGACAGTAAGTTGTTTTATGGCAGATGGTATTTCACATCACTAAGGATATTATTAGCATAAGAATTATTAAATAAGAATGACTTTGTGTTGACTTGAGCTGGGCAGAAATTTGCCAAAAGATAAAATTGAACCCATATTTTATGCAAAACATTACCGAGAAGTCCAAATAGCTAACAGATAGAAATATCTTATATGATACCATATAGGTTATAGAGAAAAATATGATTAATTCTTATTAATTTAAAGAAGATGTATTTATGACTCAGATTTCAAGTCAGTTATTAAAATTGAGAAAATCATTGATGTAAAAACATATATACACACTATCCATGGCAAAGAAAACAAGTGAAACCAAACAGCATAGATAATGTTAAAAGGCTACTCTAATACATAGTTTTAAGATATAAAGATATTTTATATCATTAAGATATATTTTATATCATTTTATATCATTAAGATATAAAATATGTCAGCATTACTCATAATAAAAAACGGTGAATTAAAAACTACAATGGAATGTCATTTACACTTAGCAAACACTCAAAAGTTTGACAAGATGCTGTGTAGGCAAGAATGCAAATAAACAGAAATTCTCATAAATTGTGGGTGTAACAAAGTTTCATGTCTTTCATGGACTGTACTCAGTCATGTCAAATGCAGATAGAAGTCGTGTGACTCCAATTCACGCATCTAATATAGTGATACTACATTGTATTAATTAGTGAGATTTTATAGGATCTTTTAACCTTTACTAGGGCTAATATCCTTCTACTGCTCTTCTTTTCCATAATTTTCCTATTTAGTTTTAATTTTTCTGTGATCTTTTGAATCAGCTTGCTTAGTTTCAGGAAATATTCTGCTGAGATTTTTATTGGGATCATAAAATTGTAACTTAACTTAGTGAGGATTGATGTATGTATGTTGATTTTTTTCTCCTATACCAGATAATGTCTTCCTTTTTGTGAAAACCTACTTGTATGTTTCTCTAATAGGCTTTGTATGTTTCTTGTTAAGTTGATTTCTTGGCATTTGAACATTTTATTGCTTTTGAAACAACATCTCTTATATTATCTGTTTTATTTATGAAGACTAATTTCATCTACACTTTGTTACTTCTGCTCTCTTAACTGAATTGTTATTTATGGTAATTTATTAGTTGATTTGCTTGGGTTTTCCAGGTAAAGTCATAGCAAATGCAAATGGAGATTTTTTTATATCTCTTCCTTTGCATATGCTCCTTGCCTACTATGCCCTTCAATGTAATGTAAACTACATATGGTGACGTTTCTAAGTTTGGTAATGTTGCTTCTTGTGCTTTCTCATTGATGTTGTGATTATAATACATAAAAATCGTATTGGAGAAGTACTCATCAATTCCTATTTTTTGAGGCTTTTAAAAAATTAAGTATGGTTATTGAATTTGGTCAAGTGTCTTTCAGCATCTATGGTGGTGATCACATGCCAGGCATAATTCATGGCTTAAAGTTTCTACACCAAGCAAATGATATGAATGTGGATTGCAAATCCATGCAAAGATAGATTAGCTCTGGTTCAACCTTACAATGAGGACTCAGTACTTGTGGTCTTAGACTAATGTGCAGAGGATGTTCTCTTAGGTTGCAGATGGGTCCTGTGTTTTGGTTTCCCTTTCTCTATTTAGACAAACAAAACTGTCAAGTCTTTATGGGTCAGAAGTGGTTTGTTGATTCCTCTTTCTGTTCTGTCTGTGTTACAGGATTATCTGCAGTTTGTTTTGCCTACTAATGCCTTGGTTGTTTTACCCCTTTGATGCTTTAGAATGTTTAAAAATATGTTTTCCATCATTGTTAATTTTGGCGTGGGACTTTCTGAATTACCTTGCCTGTCTTTGTTGGAAGTGAGAGTTGTTTTCTCCTGATCCATTCTTCACCAGTGTTCATATAATTTATTTGCTTTGACACAAACCTTTCGTTTCTGTGTTAGTTTTTTCATTGCTATGACATATACTTGAGAGAAATAGGTAAAGGAGGAAGGAATTATTTCAGGTCAGGGTTTCAGTCCACCACCAGCTGGCTCTGTTGCTTTTGGGCCTGGGGCAAGGCAAAAACATCATGGAGGAAAAGCATTACAGAAGAAAGCCATTCATCTCATGGCAGCCAGGAAACAAGGAGAAGTAATAGGAAAGGGTTCCTATGTTTGGAATTTAAGCTTTGTCTCCTTCTATCACTAACTATATTTCCCTGTCATGGCATTTTCCTACCTTATTGAAATTACATATATGTCTTACCTTTGCATTAAATATATCATGTGGATCATACTTTCTGCTCTTTGTCTAGAACATAGTAGACATTCCATAAATATTTGTTGAATGTATGAATAAACAGATGTCTATGATACTGTTTTCCAATATAATTATCTTATACTGGCTGTTTGTACCTTCTCCACCATTACTACCTTAGTTCAAGTCACCATCACTTCTCTCTTGGATTCTTGCTATGGTCTCCAGGCTTCCATCTTGCCCCTCTGTAGTCTGTTCTACACTGTTCACCACAGAGCCAGCAGAATGACTCAGTGCAATTACTGGTTGATATCAGTCTGCAGCATCTAAACCTGCTGTTGCTTCTCTTTCCACTCAAAAAAACCTGCCTTTATCTTCCAGTGGCCTTTTAGACCCTTCATGACCTTTCATTTTGTCTCCTGTCATTCTTCCCTGACTCTGTACTACCATGACCTCCTTGCTGACTCTAACACAGCAGGGGTTGTCTCCTTCTAGGGCCTGGATTCTGATTTTTTTTTTTTCTCCCCCACCTGGAAGACTTTTCTTAGGGAACTGGTTTGCTTCCTCACTTCATTTAGGCTTCTGGTCTTCCTTTTGTCACCTCTTTTCTCTGCTTTATTTTACTCAGAACTTTTGTCACTCTCTTTTTTGGCATGATGTGACATTTGTTTATGTACTTTTTTTGTCTCATAATGTCCCCTTTATGAAAGCAAGAACTTTGCTTTGTTCACTGCTATAGCCTTTGAATCTGCTTAGCACTAGATAGCAACTAATAAGTGCTGGTTGAGTGAATAAGTTAATGTATTCTGTCACTTTGATCTGGAATCCTCAAACTCTTCTGACTGTGCTCCTACTTTCTCTCAACTATACACCCACTGAAAGTTCTTGTCCGCTTCTAATTTCCACTTCAAATACAGTCTCTCAATTGTGTCCATCTGTAATGAAATTAAAGATATTCTCTGCCTTACCATAGCCTCCATATACAATTTAAATTGTATTTAAGTTAATTACAGTTTCCCTAATACATCTGGAAATAGAGATTTTTATCCATATTTAGATGATTTTAGTTTATGTTTATCAACTTTGTAAATAACAGTGTAAATACTAGTTAGGTATCTTGCTTTTGTCCAAAGGCCTTTGCAAAACTATAGAAAAAGGAATGTGAATCTTTCAGAAGCAGCCTTTGTTAAGTTTTAGAAAGAATAGAATTAAATTTTAGTGTATCTAAATAAATGTCTTATTGGAATTGGTTCACCATGAATCACTAGATTGTTTAAAAATGTTAAGTAAACTGCTTTCTAAAATGACCTTAATTGTCATATATGAGACAATGCATCTTCAAAATAAGTTCACAGGTCAAAGGGGTGTGCCTGTTTGGTGGAATAATACATAAATACACTCAAAGTCACCCCATGGCACTAAGTTAGTGCTTGTTTTTAAACGCATTGGGGTTTTGTTTAGATTATTGATTTGATACCATAGCTCATAGGCAATACAAAATCTATTCAAACAATTTGCTGGCTCATTAAATTTGCTCTTTATTTCTCCTTCCTATTTTCATACCAGTGCTGTCTTCCTCATACCTTTCAGCACTCTCTTACACAGGTTATTGTTGGATCCTCACTATACCCACTGTTAGTCAGCTAATTACAATGAAATTTATTTTACAGGATAGGAAATAGAGCCTAAGAGGGTACATACTTCCTTGAGTTTATATGCTTTGTGAAGGAGTGAACTATGATGCTTAGTGTATTATTTGTCTCCCTATTTTTTACTCCAGTGTATGTCTTTTATTTTATTTTGCTGATTATATAAACTGATTTATATGAATTTCATATAAATGTAAACAGAATTATATATTTGATTAATTAATTCATGTAACTAAATGTACGTTGATAAATATATAAATAAAGCATATATAAACTTTGCATACATTAAAAGGATCTTTAATATATTTTTATTAAATTATTGTTGTATTGTGGGTACATTGTGACATTTACAAAAGTTCTTATAATATATCGTAGTTGACTTCACCCCCTCCATCATTCTCCTTTATCTCTCCCTCTCCCCATTCCTGGAATAGTTTCAACATGTCTCATTTTTCCATTTTCATACGAGTACATACTTCCACTACATTCAGCTCCTTCATCCTTTCCTTATATCATCATCTCCCTTCCCACTGGTATGAACCCCCAGACAGGACCTGTTTTACCCTCCTATTTTCCATTTTTGAAGAAGACATTTTTTTTTGTTTAAGATAGCTTTACAGGGAGTTTCCTTGAGACATTTCCATGTGTATATGTATAAGTTGAATTGGTTCATGCCCTCTATGTTTTTTCTTTCTACCTTATCCCCTTCTTATGGTGATTTCAACAGGCTTAAAAATTGTGAAGCTGGGCGTCAGTTGCTTACCCCTATAATACTAGCTATCAGGAGGCAGAGATAAGGAAGATTGCAGTTTGAAGCCAACCCAGGCAAATAGTTTGGGAGACCCATCACAAAAAAAGGGCTGGTGGAATGGCTCAAGGTGTAGGCCCTGATTTCAAGCCCCAGTACTGGCCCCCCCAAATTCTGTATTCATTCTTGTATAGAAAGTACATCACCAATATATTCACCTTCTTGACCTCCTTTTTAAAATCTTCCCTCTGCCCTCATTCCCTTTAGTATGAGCTGTTTTTCATAATACTGCTCATATTTGTTTGTGTCCATCTCTCACATATAAGAGAAAACATGTGACTTTTGTCTTTCTGCGCCTGGCTTACTTCACTTAAAAATGATGTCCTCTAGTTGCATCCATTTACCTTTAAACCACATGGTTTCATTGTTCCTTTTGGAACATATATGGAATACATATATATATATATATTTTTTTTTTTCCCACACAGCTTCTTAGTCCATTCATCAGTTGTAGGGCATCTGGGTTGTTTCCATAGTTTGGCTATTGTGAACAGTGCTGCAATAAACATTGGTGTGCAGGTGTCTTTATTGTATCTTTTTTAATGTACAACATTGGTTTGATTTTTTTTTAGATCTTAACATTTGCCTGTGATGCCTGCAAACAAGTGATCTTACATGTTCCTTCCAAGCTCGATGCTGAGAAATTCATTGGGAGAGGTAAAAGAAAAAAACAAAATAAAACAAACCCCAGCTACAATGTGCAATAAAACCTAATTTGAAACAATCTCTTAAAAGTTAATGTAATTCTTAGAACTATAACTGAATGGGGAGTAATCTTGAAAACTAAGGCAGTACATTTTTCATGTGTAACACATGTGGTGTCTTTCCAATATCAGAATAGTGTTCTTTATTTAAAAGCATGGTTATATGAAGTAGATAAAAAGATTTGGTTTGAGTGATAAAATGATTTTGAATGTTTACATTAGGTGAAGGATATGGAATATTCTAAACATGCTTTTAAAAAACTGAGAAAGAATCTTGAAACTATATCTTGAGTTTAAAGGTATTCTTGGATTTTCATCATAAAACATTTTAACATCTTATTGCATTTTACTTCCATATAATGTTTTTTATCAATTAAATTTTATTACATAATTCAGGTGTTAAGGAAAGATCAAACCAATGAGGACACAGAACATGATGACTATTTCATGGTAGATGTAAAGTTCAATAATATTTTAATTGAGTAAATACTGACTTTAATCAGCTAGATTCTGTTTCATGTACTTCCTATGTATTACTCTATAGCTACTTTCAGCTAATAAAGAAAAAATTTGTTTTTGGTGTTGGCTTAAATTCCAAACATTGGAAATCACCAATCTTCATTTCATGACAAGTGTCTGGGACTAAAGGGGTGGCTCAAGTGGTAGAGTGACTGCTTTGTAAGCACAAAACCCTGAGTTCAAACCCTAGTCCTACCAAAAAAAAAAAAAAAAGCCTTTCATGACAAGTGTCTGTTCTTTTAAAGGATGTAAAGAAAACATTATAAGAGATGTATGTGTTTAAGTTCAACTTAACTGCATTTCATATGTCCTTTTAAAAATGCTAAATGTACAAGCAGGAGAATAATTTAACTGTTTGGCTCCTCTTACATGCATAGATTACTGTTAAAGCTATATATTACTATGTTTCACCTGACAAAAGACTGCTATGTATATTTTTTACAGTTGATCTGAAGGAGTGCTTTAGATCTGCAAATCTAATTCATTCGAGTGATCCAGACTTCCAAATTTTAGAAGATGGTTCAATCTATACAAGAAATGTTGTTCGCTTGTCCTCACAGAACAGAAGTTTTACCATATTGCTTTTCAACACAGAGAGCCAAGAAAAGAAGCAAATATCTGTCCTTTTAGAGAGCCAAACAGAGGTATGCAAAACTATGTAAATAAAGTGGAATGATATCTTTTCTTCTGATTTAACTAACATTACTAGGAAAGATACGGAATCAAACGATATGGAATATTTTGGTGTGAAGAAAAATGAAAATCATGAAACCACTTGATGGTGCTTAAGTGGAAAAGAATTGTGTGACATAGGTTATTACAGGCTGTGATTCTTTCTCATTTGGGACATAAATGGAGCAATTGGAACAATTTACAGCTTGAGAACTTGAGAGTAGACCCAAACAATCATTTGTTGATTTTTGGATTTCCAAAAATAGTTTTGACTCTGTCTCTAGATAAAGAGAAAATTTTTTTCTCATGTATCTTAGTAAAACTTGCAGTCTTAGAAAATAGATGACTGTAGAAGGAGGTTGGGACCATATGTGTGCCTATTACATTGTGACACCGAAGATCAAAATGATCTCTCTTCAGCCACTGGCCATTCCACACTGCAGTAGTTTGACAGTTGTCACCATGTTTCTCTCCTCATTCTGACACAGATCTCTCTGTTGATCCCCTGGCTCTGCCTAGTTGCTGGTGAGTGGAAGATGCTTATGCTTAATGTGGAGGGGCACATACTCACTTATTTTCTTTGCATATCTCTCCTCCCATGTTTTTGCATGGCAGTGTGGCAATAGCAATTTTCATTTTGCTTCTAGGCTTCCAATCCCATCTCTCTTTCTTCCATATTTCCACCAAGTTTTCTCAAGAGAATTGTTGGAATAACAGTTAGGGCAGCTCTTTCTTCATTATCTTTTTGCAGTGTTGATGTGTAGTTTGGTTTTTCAAATACTGTTATGGTCTTTCACCTCCTCAGCCAATCCTCATGAGAGGAGAAACATATCAGAGTTCTAATGTTTGAGAATGAAGTAGTCATTGTTATTTTTCTTCTGTCTTCTAAATCAAGGTGCTAAAAAAACCATATACTAAAGAAAAAGTACTAAGTCGTGCCAAGAGAAGATGGGCTCCGATTCCTTGTTCAATGCTAGAGAATTCCTTGGGTCCCTTCCCACTTTTTCTTCAACAGGTACAGTTGCTTTCCACTGCCGAGGGAGTCTTTCCTGCTATTTAAAAATTTTTTTGACACTGAATATACTGTTATATTAAAATAGTTGTGTAAGTGCTGGGGTGTTGCTTAGTGGTAGACTATTTGCCTATGGGATTTGCTCCCTAGCACCACACACACACACACACACACAGCAAGTATATAAAGGCTGGTGAGTTGGCTCAAGCCTGTAATCCTAGGTGTGTGGGAGGCGGAGATCTGTGGGATTGTGGTTCAAGGTCAGGCCAGGCAAAAAGTCTGTGAGACCCCCATCTCAACCAATGGTTGGGTGAGGTGATGGACACTTGTCAGTTCCAGCTTTATGGGGAAAATACAAAACGGTGGTTGAGGATGGCAGGGCATAAAGTGACTCTATCTCAAAAATAACCAAAACAAAAAGGTCTGGGGGTATTGTAGTAAACATGAGGCCCTGAATTTAACCTCCAATATTGATAAAAAAAAAGTATATGAAACTAGTTGCACATAAATATATGAATGAATGGGTATATGTATAAGTTATTTAAATATGTGAGTGTAAATATATTTCTTTATAGTTGCATGCACTTGTTTGAGACTTTAGTCATGCAAAGACCATCTATAAAACACTAAAGCCCATTTAGGAGTCTCAAACACATTTTTTAAAATTATTTCTTGAAAAAAATTATCAACAAGAGTATCACAGAGCCTGGGTAGCACCCAGAAAGTCCAAAGATATTTTCTTTAATAAAGAGTTAAATTACTAACGTTATGAAGGGGAAAGACACATAGACCTTTCTGTTGCTTATTCTTAATTTTTTTTCAGTGTGATTTTTTAAATCACACTGGATTCCTTCTCTCTCTTTCAACTTTTCATGGAAATCCCCAGCAAATTTCTTCCACTATTAGTGTATTTATTAGTGGCTGCTATCATTCAGCTTATGACCTGGTTTCTTTTCCATCAGTTCTTGAAATGGTGAGAGAGAATCTTCCTTTATACCCTACCAACAAATTTACTACTTGAAATAGGAACATATTAAAGTTGAGAAAGGGAAACTCTTAGGAAATAATTGTGTTACTCATTTTTATATAATGATAGTGAAGATCTAATTGAGAGGATGAATCACCTTGGAAGATAATTTCTTTTCTGAATCAAATACCAAAATGTTACCCTTGCCAGGATATTTACTATTATTATTATTTTACTGTTTTTGAGGCAGGGTTTCACTATGTAATTCAGGCTGCCACTTGAACTTGACATTCTCTTGCCTCTGCTTCCTAGGTACTGGGATTACAGGTGTGAGCTACCAGCAATGGTTAAATCCAGTTTCTTATTGTCACACATGATAAGAACTCAGTGTTTTGAAAAATGACAACAGAGTAATTTTTCACCATCAGATTACCTTATTTTCTAGTAAAGGAAAAAGTCTTAAATGTTTTATCACATTGATACCAGTTAGCCTTTAAAATACTCCTTTTACTACATTATTTTGCTCATGCCTTGCTCTTGAAATTTCTCTATTACTAGGCTTCCTCAGTTTATTGCTTTTTAAAATGTATGCATAATAATAAAGAGGGTAATAAGTTATTGAAGTAAAAATAGCAATGTGACTGCATAAATATACAGATAAAAGTTCAGCTGAAATAAAAGAGTATCTCACATTTATATCATCTCCCCTCTAGGTTCAATCTGATGCAGCACAAAACTACACTATATACTATTCCATAAGAGGGCCAGGAGTTGACCAAGAGCCTCTGAATTTATTTTATGTGGAGAGAGATTCTGGAAACCTGTATTGTACTGGTCCAGTAGATCGTGAGCGCTATGAATCTTTTGAGGTAAAGTTTATGAATTGTGTTATGAATTGTAAGCTTCGTCATTTTGTCCCTCGTTCTCAATTCATTTACTATTTTCTATTTTCTGAGTCCGTCACTGATGTTTTAGCTATAACTGACAGCATATTATTGACGTGAAACAAAAGTAATTTAAATAGAATAAACAAGGTTAGATTCTGATAGATTATTTCTGGTGTTATGGTTTTACTATTTTGTTTTTTAATTCTCTAAAGAATGAGTACTATTTTGAAGAGCAGTTATTTAGTTGGTGGAAAAGATTTGTGAACCTCTATATAAGACATGAGATGAAGAGGCTCAAAAGTTGTACCAACCTCAGTACCCTTGCAGTGGGAGAAAGGTAACTTAGAGTGAACAGGTAAGGAGTGAGGGCAGTGCTTACTGAAGCTTCTTCAGTGTTAGTAATCATCTGGGAAACTTCCCATGGTGGAATTTGAGTTCATGACTAAGAACTTGACTTCATGCTGGTTTGATTTCCTAACAGTACCTAATCATCTTGCTTAACTCAATTTTATATCAGATTTGGATGAATTAATTATTCTCCAGGAGACCAAATTAATTGAATAGACATGCAAACTTTGAATTAAATACTTAACGTTTAGAATTAGTACAATATGACCTTCTAAGTCCCCAAGATGTTCTGCTCTTTCTAAAATAGCAGTAATGAGAAAAATTGGAGTTGAAATTCATATTACAAAATTAAAGTAGCAAATTATATTCCATACAAAACTTGTAGCCATTCATTAATTTTTTTTTCTGACTCCTGCTTTTTAAATTAAAAAATTCTTAGGAAAAGACTTACCTAAATATAACCATTGATATGTCCCAAATCCTTACTAGTGGAAAATAAGATGCTATACCATTTAACTGCATCTGGAGAATCTGTAATCCCCAAAAAATCTAAGTTAAGAAAGATCCAGAAAGTCATATTTAAAAATCCATGCACCAGAAACTTTCAAACAAATCAAAAAATCTTTTGGAAAAACAACAATTAAAAAGTCATTTTACTTATGAGCAATATATAGCAATGAGGAGGAAATGAAAATTATCTATGCTTTTATATTAGATAAATTTCAACATAACCTTATAGTACACCTGAAATTAGTGCTAAAATTATGTCTGCTTCCAAAAATAGTAACAAATAATGAGGCAATTCTGAATAATCTCTGAACCATGAAGAACTATGTAGAGTTTGAACATGGTTCAATTTCTAGCACCATGAGACACAAAAAGAGCTGGCAGAGTGGCTCAAGTGGTAGAGCACCTGCATTGTAAGCATGAGGTCCTGAGTTCAAACCCCAGTGCTGCCAAAAAAAAGGATAATTTTCACTTTTTTCCCCTTATTTTGCTCTTTTTGCAGCTAACTGCCTTTGCAACAACTCCAGATGGGTATACACCAGAATATCCATTACCCCTTGTAATCAAAATAGAGGATGAAAATGATAACTACCCGGTTTTTACAGAAACAACATATGTTTTTACAGTTTTTGAAAATTGCAAAGTTGGTGAGTACCTGCCGTAATGATATATGGCAATTTAAATTTGTTTTGAGTTTCACTATGACCATTGGAAGTACCATATGATCTGGTTGTGGTAAGAACAGGGGACACAGAGGGCATTTTACTCTGCCTTTCACTGTGTGATCAACCTTGGGCAAGTTTCTTAGTGTTAACAAGCTTTAGTTTTCTCATCTATAAAATGGGTTGTCGGTATGCCAGATTATTATGGGTTTTGGTTTTTTTTGTGGTACTGGCGTTTGAACTCAGGACCTCATGTTCGCTAGGGAGGTGCTCTATCACTTGAGCCACAACTCCAACCCATGCCAGATTATTACGAAGAATAAATGAAGCATGACATATATGGAATGCCAAGCACAGTGCCTCAAAAATAGGAGTTACCAAAAGTTACTTTGCCTTTCTGTGTGAGGTAAAAATAAACGTTTTTAAGACAACATTCTCCCAAAAAGGACTTTTAAAAAATTTTATCATTTTCACATTTACTCAGTTGTGTATATTTGTTTCTGTTCAAAAAATGACCTGTTTTAGCAAGGGGAGGTTTGGTTTCAAAGATGTCTACCAGTGAGAGACGATATTCTGGGCCTGATCATCAGAGTCATTGCAAATAATTCAAATATATTCTCAATCTTCTGAAAATGGCTCATTTTGACTGGAAATCAGAATGCAATTTTTGATACTTCCTCTAAAAAGACCTAACTGACCCAATGAGTGTCCAACAAAACAGATTCATGTATTAAGTACTGGCTTTCAAATTGGAAAAGAGCAAAAAAATTCCAAAAATTTTAGATTAAAAATATTATGCTCATAGAGGGAAAGTATCAACATTTATAAAATCATGCATTAAATATAGTAAAAATGTGTATGAGCACCAAGTTCCAAAAATGCAAGTACATTTAAAAGGAAGTGATACTTTCTGTAGAGGTCTGAAAACTGATCAAATCCATGGCCCTGGTTTATAATAAAGTGGTCCAGAACTTTTTTGAGGTAGGTGGAAAGGAATAAAATAAGAAGTTGAACACGTGAAAGTTTGGGAAATTAAATAGGGATTTTTCCTTTGTAGGTTCTTCTGTGGGGCAGGTGTGTGCAACTGACAAAGATGAGCCTGACACCATGCACACTCGCCTGAAGTACTCTATCCTGGAGCAGTCGCCTTCTCCACCCACCCTGTTTACTATGCATCCATCTACAGGTGTGATCACCACGGCATCATCTCAGCTTGACAGAGAGGTACTGTCAATGATAACAAAAAAACTTGATTGTAACATGGCTATTTAAAAGTACAGGTTAATTTTCCCTACTCAGAAAATCCAAAATCTGATATGCTCCAAAATCTGTAACTTTTTGAGCAGTGTTGTGATATCATAACTAGAAAATTCCACATCTGACCTGGACAGGTCACAATTGAAACAAATACGCACTGAAAATATAGTATAAAATTACCTTCAAGCCGTGCATAGAAGGTGTAAATTAAACATGAATTTGTGTTTGGACTTTTGCTCATCACCAATGTGTGAGAGAGAGAGATCTATCTATCTATCATATATACACAATGTATGCAAATATTCCAAATTCTGAAATAATCTGAAAGCCAGAACACTTCCAGTTTCAAGCAATTCAGATAAAGGATACTCAGCCTACTCTTGGACATCTCTGTGTCACTTGTAGGTGTGTTTTTGAAAAACTTGATGTGAATCAAAATTTGGGAAAATCATTATCTTAAGTATGTTATTGACAGTCATTAAATAACCTTGCAGCACGCTATACTAATTTTGAACTTCTAATTTGTTCTCACATGAAGTTTATATTTTATGAAATCAAATTTTCTCACATAAATATTTATTGTTTTGAGCATAAGAAGTGTCAAATATGAAAATATGAGCCTTTTGGAAAGGTGTAGAAATTTGTTATTTCCAGGGAAAGAAATTCTTCTGTCTGTGTGATCTTTTCTTTAGCAGTCTCGTCTATGAAAAGAAGGTCTGTGTCTCTTTGACCTTGGTTTCCCATTTTCAACTGCCTGCGACAATTCCTTATTTGGATATTTTTCAGGCACCTAATATATCTAGTATATTTAGTAATATATCTAAATTTTAACTCATCTTCTGAACATGTTCTCTCTTCCATATTTTCTTTTTAAAATGGTAATAAATTCTTTCCCTATTAATAATTTCTATTGTCATTCCAGAATCATGTTCTCAAAATCATATTACCTTCTAAATCAAACCACCTTCCAAAGTATGTTGATATTCACTATGACATTATTTTACATTTAAATTCTGCAGTTCCCCAGTATAATAATTTATTTGTTTAGTTATTCTACTATTACCTCTTCAACCAAGCACTATCCATCTGAATTCTTATGGCAGTTTGTCCTACTTACTAATTTATAATTCTTAATCTTAAAATATAAGCATAGTAATAAACAATTAAAATATAGTAATATGTGATTGTTGGGATTTATTCTTTGATTTTTGAAACTTCGTATTGGACTCATTTCCTCTCCTTTCTTTATCCCTCATGGATTAAAGCAGCAGTCCTCAAAATTTTTGGCTTCAAGACTCCTTTACATTCTTAAATGTTGTTGAAGACCCTTGAGATCTTTTATTTGTATGGGTTGTATTTATTGGTATTTACTCCCATTAGTATTTAAAACCAAGAAAAGAAAAAAATATGTGTTAACTTATTCATTTAAAATATGTACTACATGTTAACACAGATGAAAATTTTTATGTATAAATCAATTTTTCCAAAATAATAGTGAGACAAGTGGCATCATTATGCCTTTTCCCCAATTTTTTAACTCTGGCCTAATATAAGGCAGGTGAAGTCTCACATTTCCTGCACTCAGTATATTATAATATGTCATTTTAGCTAAAGTATATAAAGAAACTCTTATGTGTTATAAGGTTAGAAAAGAGAGGAGCATTTTAGAAGTAATCTCACGTCTCATTGGATATTCTGCTGTGAGTCTACATCAAAATTTAACATGTAGCAGTTTCCTAAATGTTTTTTGCACTTTGGATTCTGAAGCCTTGTCAGTGAGCTTGAGTGCTTTAATCCGTAGGTCTATCTTTAACTGTGAGTGGATATTTTATTGATGTATGATTTTTTATCATACACTGAAATCTTTCTTTCATCTGAAGATACCACAAATTAATATTTAGAATAAAGACATCATTTTTTATAGCCAATTGATTGTTTCCAATAAATGTCAGCCTACTACAAAGAAAATACATGTTCCCTCTCGAAAATGTAACAGCAAGAGGTCTTACAAATTGTCAATCAAAACAGGCCATTATTTTTCAAGTGTACACATGTGGTAAGCTATGAGGAGCAGTAAATAAGGAAAATCATGCGCATAAAAAACAAAGACAGAAAAAAACTAGTTTTATTTCAGTTAGGGCACAAGAACAAGAAAGTTTAAGAGGCGATAGGAGAAACTAAAGCAGATACCTCAAAACAACTGAGGCCAATAGGAAAAGGGGACCAGGAACTAGAGAAAAGGTTAGATCAAAAAGAATTAACCTAGAAGGTAACACCCACGCACAGGAAATCAATGTGAGTCAATGCCCTGTATAGCTATCCTTATCTCAACCAGCAAAAACCCTTGTTCCTTCCTATTATTGCTTATACTCTCTCTACAACAAAATTAGAAATAAGGGCAAAATAGTTTCTGCTGGGTATTGAGGGGGGGGAGACGGAGGGGGTGGAGTGGGTGGTAAGGGAGGGGGTGGGGGCAGGGGGAGAAATGAACCAAGCCTTGTATGCACATATGAATAATAAAAGAAAAAAAGAAAGAGGCGATAGGAATTATGGGAAGTATCTGTAAGAGAAGGGTGAACGTTCTAGGGAGAAGACTAGAATAGATTTTTGCACACATTTTTATCTTAGAAAAAGAGACAAATTAATAGGAAAGATAATTATTATAGACATCTTATAGGAGTGGAATCCTATGCGCAGGTATGTCTAACTGCCCAAGATAGCATTTGTCATTTCTGGAGTTGAGAATAGAGCCGAAGGCTTAGTCTGGAAGGCCTTATGTTTCTCAGTCACTTACGGTAAATGGAACCATTATGAGAAGAAACACGTCTTTTAAAGTAGAGATCTCATAGATGGGAAATTTCAAAAGCCAGGTTCTGTTTTCCATCTAAATAAAAAATTAGATAAGTCAGGGCTGGTGCCTCTAACTACGTGGGTGGCTAAGATCTGGAAGATCGTGATTTGAGGCCACCTGTCGCCAAAAATCACCTGAGAAAAATGGGCTGGAGGTGTGGCTCAAGCAGTAGAGCACCTGCTTTACTTTCATATTAATTTAATGATTTTTTAAATAAATTTTTAAAATCTATCTTTTCCCAGTAAGATATTTCACTTTATTGTTTCATTACAAGACTGTTTTAAGAGTCACTTCCATGTATTTTTTGAATGTAAGAATGTATTTATTTATTTATTTTTTTGGTGGGACTGAGGTTTGAATCAAGGCTATGCACCTGTCAAGCAATCATCCTACCACTGTTGAATAATGGTAAAGCCAATTGACACTGTAATCTACGTTTAAGAAACTATTCTATTTTCAGAAATTGAAAATTATTAGTGTGAGGAAATTTTTTTCTAGAACATGGATGCTTTGAAAGCTAAAGATCTACCTCTAAATTGTTAGTGTAAGGGAAATTATAGAATATCACTTATGAATTCATTTATAATGTTGCTCCTTTCACTCAATAATTACATTTTTTCCCTCTTTTCAGTTAATGGATAAATACCTGTTGAAAATAAAAGTGCAAGACATGGATGGTCAGTATTTTGGTTTGCAGACAACTGCAACTTGTATCATTAATATTGGAGATGTGAACGACAACTTGCCAACATTTACCCTCACTTCTGTAAGTATATGATATTTAAGAAGAAAACTGTGTAACCCAGTGGTAATTGCTAAAAAAGCCATGTGTCTATCTATGCCTCATGATTGCAAGTGAAACACTCCCAGGGACATAACAGTTTGTTGTCAGAGTTTAAAGTCATATGAACATGGTACTTTAGAAATTAGATGAACAGGGCACACTTCAAATGGTGATCTGTTTTTCTGAGGGTTAACTAATGAAAATTTTTGTTTCTTTTTTTCATTTTAGTATGTGACATCAGTGGAAGAAAACACTATTGATGTGGAAATCTTACGTGTTGCTATTCAGGATAAAGATTTAATTAATACCCCTAATTGGAGGGCTAATTATACAATTTTAAAAGGCAATGAAAATGGAAATTTTAAAATTGTAACAGATCCCAACACTAATGAAGGAGTTCTGTGTGTGGTTAAGGTAAGAATAAATTAGTAAATTATTTATAATTTATAATAGCACAGAAAACATACTAGGGATTAAAGGAAAGATAGATATTCTGGCAAGTATAGGAATAAAATAGGTAGAGTAAATGTAATTGCTATTTTATTGAGCCAGGAACTGGTAGCTCACAGCTGTAATCCTAGCTACTTGGGATGCTGAGCTCTAGAGGATCTCAGTTCCAGGACAGGCCTAGCAAAAAAAGTTTGCAAGACCCCATCTCAATGGAAAAAAAGCTGGGCATACTAACATGTGCCTGTCATCCCAGCGAGAGCAGGAAACATAAAATAGGGTTGGGCAAAAAGCAAAAGAGCCTATCACCAAAATAACCAGAAGCAAAAAAAGACTGGAGGCATGGCTCAACCAGCAGCCTCCTTAGCAAGTGTGAAATCCTGAGTTCAAATCCTAGTACTGCCAAAAAATAAATAAAATAAAAATAAAAAATGCTATTTTCTTCATATGGATAAATGGAATGAATATAATCATTTCCAGTAACTTTTTATAAAGCTTGATTTTGTAAAAAATTTTGTAAGTGTTCAATTAACGTGTTATAATATCTACCTTGTAACTGATATCTCTCAACAATTCAAAAAGTAGCACAGCTTTTATGCCAATGAAAAGATCCAAACTTTCCTAATCTTGTCTTTCTGTATCTGTATTTCTACCCCAAGTAACAATAATTTTATTTATCTTGGGAGTGTAAGACAAGCTGTCCTAAAATTAATAGTGTAGTAAATAGCTATTGTTATGATGTGAACCCACTACAGGAGGCTTAACATCCAAGCAGCTTTATTAAATACTTCCTGACATCTTTATCTGTACTTATAATGCTACTTGCATTAAATTTGGAGGAGTTTTATTTATTGTTTTTCCAGTTCTACCCAAATACTGCATGCTCTTTCCATCATACCTCATGATTTTAGGCATATGTTAAAATTCTCATGACTCTTTCCAACATAGTACTTATGTATTTCCAAATTTAGCAAGTCAGTGGAGTAGTTCACATTGCCAGTTAGTAAATGCTTTGATCTGATTTTTCACCACTTTTGCTTCTGTAGCCATTGGATTATGAAGAAAGACAACAGATGTCCCTGCAAATTGGTGTAGTTAACGAAGCTCCATATATCAGAGACAGTAGTTCTAGACAAACCATGAGCACAGCCACAGTTACCGTTTCTGTAAAGAATCAGGATGAGGGCCCTGAATGTAACCCTTCAACACAAACTGTTCGAATTAAAGAAAATGCACCAGTAGGAACAACAAGCAATGGCTACAAAGCATATGACCCAGAAACAAGAACTAGCACTGACATAAGGTATTTATATTTCTATTGCTGCTCTTTCTAAATTTGCTGCACTAAAAAATCTATAGCTTTTTTGATATCAGCATTATAATTTGACTTATGATGGTTCTTGTTACTTTAATTTATCACTGTTAATAGGTATAGGAAATTAAGTGATCCAAAAGGATGGGTTAACATTAATGAAAATTCAGGATCGATCACAGTTTCCCAAAGCCTGGACAGAGAGGCTGAGACCGTCAGAAATGGTATATATAACATCACAGTTCTGGCACTAGATAAAGGTAAGATTTTTTTTTTTAACCCAGGTACATACACCTTTAGCAAACTGAAGCCCTCTCAGAGGCTAGGCAAGTGCTTTCCACTGAGCTACTTCCCCAGCCCAATAGCATACATTTTTAAAGCTGGTTCCATACATTCTCAGCTTTTCTTTCTCCTCCAAATGATATATAGAATAACCGAGAGGTTTGCTATCATTTATTAGCTCATGTCTGCTTTCTACCAGCATCTTCAGTATTATATGTAATTATAAAATAATTTAGTCTTAGAAACACTTGAAACCATGATATCTTAATGTTAAATACTCATTAAAAACTGAGAAAATTACTGTAGTTAAAATTTGTCTCCATTTGTCTACTCATTTCTCTTACAGTATTTACTGTCACTAGAGTTCATTAGAGGGAGAACATTTTTATTGCCATATAGTGCACTGCTAGAAAACAGTTATAACTTTTTGCAGGAAATTAGCAATATACTTGGGGACTAGAATTCCAATTAAGGAAATTATGTAAAAATAAATTATAGTCACAATAATAGTACATTACAGAATTAGAGAGACAAATACTATGAATCCATATAAGGCAATAAAATGTAAAGTTAGGTTCTCTATATCCTATAAAATTGAGAAACATGAGTATAGTGATTATAGATAAAACCCATTTAGTGCATAAAATAAAACTTTACCACAATGTATATTTGAAATTTGTACCTGTCTAAAATAAATATGCTTACATAACTATCATGCTCAAGCTTGCAAAAATAGAATTTATATGTAATTTTGAATGATAATTTAGGTTTCCAAATCTCTCTGAATTAGTTCTGAAACATTCTCAGCAATTAATTTTAAATATAGCTTGTCTTCTCTTTATTCTCTCTTCTAGAATTCTTATTTAATGAATGTTGCTGTTTTATTTCTATGGGAATTTGAGCTATAATTTCATTTTTTTTCACTAATTATCCTTCTTTATGTCTTTGGAGATCTTACAAAGATGTCATGCATAGAGTGAATTAATCTTACTGGCAAATTTTTTGACTTTTCTTCATATTACTCTTTCAGGAATTTTAATTGGTGGACCTATAATAAATGAGAAGAGTTTGATTTCCTCTCTGGTTTTTGGTTTTTCCTTTCTCATTTTACCCCATTTTAACTTGTAGTCTTGAAGTTGCCTGTACGTGCTCCTTCTGTGTACATGGTTCAGAAACAGTTCTTAATCTGGTAGCTCGTGCTCCTGTCCCATGGTAGTACTGAAACTATCAAGGTCCAGTGTCTGTGCCATCAAGGCCCTGGTTGAAGTTAAGACTGCAGGGCTGAGCCTGGTCTCTAGCTTCTCTAGGTTGGCAGTGTCAGATAAGACATAACTCTTATGAGTGTGATATTGAAGAGACCACCTAGAATCACTTCATTTGTGAGTAGTCCTGGCCCTGCCACAGTTTAGCTGCATGAACTTGAGCTAGGAAACTGTCTCAGAATTTGTTTCTTTTGTTGAGAAAGGCTGGAATTAAATGACCATATTTTCTAAGTTTACATCTAATTTTGATGATTTTATTATTCCCTTAGTCCACCTTTCCCACTGTGTGTCCTGGATCTGCATAATGTGAACCCTACAATCCTTCTAGCCTTGGAGGGTGCAATGTGAAAGTCCTAAGCCCCTGTTTTATGTGACAGGAGGATGGGCTAATGTGGGACAGTGGAGAGCCAAGGGCATGCATCCAGCTTACTCAGAGGCTGGTGGGCTACAGCAGCTCCTCCATACTCTCCAGTCATAGATTGAGCCCGTCTAGTAGTCTCCTTTTGAGCCCCCAGGACTTTCTCAGCACCCCCTGACAACAGAGCCACATCTCCCCCTCCCACTGGTTTATAAGAGAAAGACACTTCTGTGCTGTGTCTAATGTTATCTGGTCCATTTAAAAAATGAGACTAGAATAGCCACAACTCCTCCCTCAGAGAGAAACCCTCATGTGCTATTTTAATTGTGTGATGAATTAAGCCCTGGTGAGCTGCTTTAATAAATCAACTGGATAATGTTTAGGACTTTAAGAGGGAAAATGGAATCAGAGGTAGAGGCTCTAAAAAATCACTTTAAATGAGAGAAGGACCAAAATGAAGTCTCAGAAAAGATTTAAGATTTGAACTGGCAAAAACCAAAAAACAAAAAATGGTACAAAAACTTCTTCCCAGAGCCTGGTTATTGTTGGCAAGAGCCAGAGATTCTGCTGTGATGATCTCCTATGATGTCCAGAAGAAAAAATAAAAAAGATAAGAGTAAAAAAAAGACATAACTCTAGCCTTGAGTGGCACAGGGTTTTTCTTCCTCTTCTCCATCTTTAGTGTCTGATGCTTCCTATTATAAGCAGAAAGAATAAGTGATTTAGAGACAGGATTCCTGGATTTGTGTTCAACTTCAGTCTTCATAACTCCATTGCTAATTTTTGCCTTGGACCCATGACTGCTTCATCTTTGAATGCCCCAGATTTTCCAGTGCAGTACCCTCTGCATAAGTTTTTGTGATAGATAAAAGATAGATTGACAGATAAATTTCACAGGCTATGTATTCCCCTAATGATAATTTCCATTTGTGAGTAATATTCCACATCTAGAGTCCTCTACCGTCTGAACATCACCCTGTACTATTTTTGTTTTAATCTTCCCTATATAAATATATATATTTTCCTACTATTCAATTTCCCTGCTCCAAAACCTTAAATGCTTTCTATATCTATATTAAATTCTAGGTACTCTAGTCTAGCTTTCAAATGTCCCTCCTCCTTCTCTCCAGTGTCATTGCCCACCTGTCTTTGTTTTCTTTCTCCTTTATTTTCTCCAGATCATGGGTGTGTATAACATGTTTCCTATCTCGTTGAATTTCCTTTTTCTTTTAAACATAACTGAAGTGTCCACCATTCACACTATCCTCCTTCCTGTTCTTAAAAATTAGTTAAAACTCTCCCCTTCAAATTTTCATGCCTGCTGCAGTGATTTAGTGAGTGAATGAACACATCCAAATATTAGTAATTGTCTATACCACTTGAGAGAAATAAGATTTTTTTTTTAGTGTTAACTGAGACCACAGTTTATCGCTATACCTGTCACTGTAACTTATGTATAACAAGTGTTTAATAAATATTTATTTTTAATTTTCTGGTGAAACTGAAAACATAAAGATGCATTTTTATTTTCATTTGTCTAGATGGGAGAAGCTGTACGGGGACCTTGGGAATTATACTTGAAGACGTAAATGATAATGCCCCTTTCATACCTAAGCAGACAGTCGTGATCTGCAAAACCACCATGTCCTCTGCAGAGATTGTTGCTGTTGATCTGGATGAACCCATAAACGGCCCACCCTTTGAATTCAGCTTGGAGAGTCGTAATTCAGAAAGTCGGATAATGTGGAAACTGACAAGAATTAACGGTATGTGTTTTTAAACATTGCCTTTTTATTGTCAACATCAGGATGTCTAAAATACTTTTTTTTCCTTGATGAAACAAAAGAATAATTCTCTGTGTGGGAACCACTAATGAAAAAGGCACATTTCTCACTTTGGGTGTGACGGGCAGTGGGTATCTTTAGTGTTTGCCTTTAATCCCATACCAGGTTTCCCATAGTTACTTCCTGAATTTGCATTCCATTCAAAATGTCCACCTGCACAGATTCTTTTCAGAATAATGTCCTCAATCAAAAGGGAATCCCCATGATGTGGCAGATTGGTTCTGTAGGAAGTAGACTCTGAGTCAAGTATCTCAGGCTGAATGTTTGTTAAGAGATTTTCTTTGGATTAATAACTGTGAAAGGAGGGGAAGCAGGCTTGGGTAAAAGGAGAAGTCAAGCAGTACTGTAGACCAGATGATACCTTCAGCTAGCTTCATGGGGAATCTGAGCTAAATGGCTCTTCAGAGAGGCCCCTGTATCTCCTGCTCTCTCCCATTAGTCAGTGGATAAAAAGAAGAGCTTGGAAAAGAAGGCACTGAAGGTACTGATAACCTCCCAAGCAGTTGGGACAATTAGTCCTCTCTGTTGCAGGGAACCTGTGTCTACCAAGTTTCCACAACACCATTGCTTCTGTCTGCCACTGTGTTGACTTCTCACCTTTTTGTATCTATTGTGATCTCCTTGGGATTTTCTCCCAACTCAGTTCCCAGTCTGTATTTTAACTTCAGCCCAGAAAGAGCTACAGTAACAAGAATGGTAAAAGGTGGTCTCTCACCCTCTCCATCTTTGCATCACTCCCTACATCATCTCTTAACTCTTCAGTACATTCTCCAATCTCCTGCTTGCATTGCCCACAGATCATGAGGTCATTGCCTACCAGCTACACGATTTGGGACCTCACCTGTAAGCTCAGTGGGGTTTGCCATGAAATGTCCTTGAATGTTTTTCACCTCCATGCTTTCAGTAACTATCCCTCAATTTCCTATTATGACACATTACAAAGGAAAGGTTGTGAGAGAATGCAAAGGCAGAATGGGATGAGGAACAAAAACCAAGGATATATAGTAGTAACTTAAGGCACTGGATTTTGTGAGTACACAAGATTTTTAGTTTTTTAAACAATATACTGGTGTGTGTGTATGTGTGTGTGTGTGTGTGTGTGTGTGTGTAGAAAGGAGCAGTTTTCCATTGTTCTTTCTTAAGAAGAATTAACCTTATTCTTAGATTTTGTCCTTTCTACTTATTTTGATATCATATCATTTTAGTTTAAAAGGTATTGATAGGAGATGGTAATTTAAAATACATATGTATGTATATACTTAGCCAAATAAAACTTTGGCAGCAGGGTGTTGATCAAAACTTTGTTAGTTTTTCTGTTTCTGTGACACTATGGATTAATTCCAGGGCTTGTATATGGAAGGCACATGCTTTACCATTGAGTTATATAAGTTAGTCCCCAAACTTTGTTATTTCAAAGAGTTACTGGTCTGTGAATTCATACAAAATCTGGGAAACACCAAGTTAGTAAGAACATACCCTGTAGAAGTTTCAAAGTTTCAAAGTCAAGCAAAACTTAGTGTCAAATGCTGGTTGACTCTGACCATGCTATTTTTTCTCTTTGAAGCCCCTGGGCCGCAAGCAGATGGGAGGGCTGTGAATACCTGTGCTTTTTTCAGTCTCAATGAATGTTGTTGTCTGGTGTCAGAACAATAAGAAAACTGTAGCTCTAGGATGAAATGGCAGAATTTGCTGGTCCTCTATTGTCTTTTAGAGGTCTTTGGGTAGCATTCTTAAGATAGTGGACTTTTTGAGGTAGCTTTTAATCAGTAGAATCCAAGGTTCTAAAACAATCTATAGCCACAAATTGTGATGAAGCATTTGTGGTACAACTTTGCATTGTTTATCATCTCTCAAGCTTTAAAAAGTTGGCATATACTTTTGTGATATTACGGAATAAACAATAAGTGACAGCAAATGAAAACAAACTAAAGTTTCTCAACTGAGTGAAATTTTGAGAGGTAATACCTATTTCCGGGCAGTTGGCTGATTAGATGTGTTAGTGCTTTTGGAATGTATGAGTAGCAGCGAACCTGCACTCTTCATGCACTGTATATGTGTGGCATGCACTGATAGCAAAGCACAGGGAATGGACACTACTGTCCTGCAGCACTGCTGTCTCCGTGGTTCATTTCAGGGTTGTGTTTGGATGTTGCACAAGGCACTATTTAATGTCAAATGCAGGTGTCCAAAGAAATGGGCCTTTTACTTTTTGTTTTAAATTAGGATAGGAGACAGCTAACCTAACTTTCACTTTATAAATATTACAAACTTTTTTTCAGTAATAAGTGAGGAGGGACAATAAAACCATGAACTATTTTATTTTGCTTTATGTATGTTTTCTTAAAATTATATTTGAAGTTTGCTTATTATTTTAAAACCTTACACTTTTTAGAAATCATCTTTGGTAAGTATTGACTCATCCTAAATCTATTCAGATTTAATTTAACCCTTGGCTTTAATGAAACTTTGAAACAATCTTATTTTAGAATGATTAACCAAATGTTAGCTAACTTAAGTGAAGTATCTTTTAAGCAAGATTGTCTTTCATCTAGCCAAAATAGAATATTACAGTTTAGTTTGGTTGGCAAAGGGAAGAAGAATTGCTTTTTTTTAATACTGCACTTATTTCCAAAACAAGATTCATAGTGGCTTTTTATATTATGCTAGATGTCCATGGAATATAGGTAGTCTTAAAGCATTCTTCTGGGGAATAAGTTTTAATCTGAAAAAGCAAAGAAAAATGTAGTGTGTCATGGTAAGCAAGTTACTTTGATTTGGGACTATAAAAGCTGGTAGACAAAAATTGATGAAATAGTCTCACTATCTGATACTCAGTGAGAAAACTGGATAACCACATGCGAGAACTAAATCTGTAAACTTTATTTCTTCAGCAGTCATTTGCCTTATGTGAAATGATTTAACTTTTTTTTTTTTTTTGCTGATTGTAGCAGTGTTTTATTACTTTACCTTGTACTGCATTTTAGTGTTTAGAGAAGGAAGGATTGTAAGTAAACCTGTAAGTGATTCTGTCTAAGATAGTAATGAAGTTCTTGCTGGGGTCTTTTGGTCAGAATTTAGGATAAGTTGAAAAGTAACCCAAAAATACCTGTTGGGTTCATTGTTGTAGTTACAAAGAATCAAAACCTTTAGAGCAGATCTGTCATTTCTGGATTATATTGTGGTTTGACAACGGTTTTGTCTTTTTCCCTCCATGCTAATAAAAAAATAAGGATTTTCACTTAAAAAAAAAAAAAAAAAAAGAACATCAATTACCCATGTGTAAAATGGGATTATTTTAGGAAGTAAATGAGGTAACGAATGAAATAGATTGTGGCACACTATGCATCATAGCTTTTTAAATCTCAATATTATTATTATTATTTCTTACACAATAGACCTAACACGTTAACCGTTGTGACTCTTAAAATCTTAATTCAAGGATTTCTTCACCTAAGAATTTAAATTCATATTTAGAGATTCAAACACTATCTAAAAAATTAGAGTGTCACGTTGGGTATTTAGGTAAGAGAGGGATTGTTTTCTGGCACGTGTCATGTACATTTACAGTTGTATTATGACTTTTGATCTGAATCCAAGATTTTATTGGCTTTTGGTCTGTTTTCTACCTTTGATACATCAAAATACATCAAAACAAAAAAAAATGTGCAGTTGGTCCCAGTGTCCTTTAGGATGAGGAGATGAGTTCCCACATCATGCCTTATGACCTGCAAATGCGTTCACAGTATGGTGTGTTCTGTGATGTCAGAATCAGTCTCTGTAAATCACAAATATTTATGTCTATTTAGCATGATCTATGAAAGCAAAAAGAAATGCAGCATCCAGAACTTCATACTGTTAACTCTGGTGCATCACCTATAAAAGGAAATGTACACTGATTGGTTTAATTGAAGACTTTGAAGGTATGCTAAAAAATCAACCTATTAACAAGTCTATTGATTATGAAAGCACTTGTTGATAAACAGATTCAATATATTATTGCATGAGTCAAAAGGTGTTTATATAAGAGGCAGCAGAGATAAACTTTTACATGCAATATGTGAGTTAGAACTATAGTCACATTTCCAGTCTTCTAGCAGCTGTGCCAACCACATTGGAATGACCTTTCGCAGGTAGATATGATAATTATTTGATAACTAGTTATTTATGCTCAAGTGAAGTCAATGACATTCTGTAACACTAATTTTTATTTATTTTATTTTCAGACACAGCAGCACGTCTCTCTTATCAGAATGATCCTCCATTTGGATCATATGCAGTTCCTGTCCGAGTTGCAGATAGACTTGGCCTGTCTACAGTCACTTCAATGAATGTCCTTGTATGTGACTGCATTACTGAAAGTGACTGCACAGATCGCTCAAGCCCAAGGGCTGGCAGCGGAGACGTAAGACTTGGACCCTGGGCCATCCTTGCAATATTGTTGGGCATAGCATTGCTGTTTTGTAAGTCCTTCCTTGAATTTAAATAAAGCCCTTTAAAGTAACTTTAAAGACACAGTCTTAAAATTCACTCTATTGCCTGTAGCTGATCATTTGTGTATAGCTGTGTCTATTTAGCACACAAATATATTTAACATCTATTTTAAGTGCACTTACGTATGCATAGCTCTAGTGTCTTCTACAATATAGAACTATAGCAGGTGGCATATATTTGTAGTATATTTACTTAAGGCAGATTTTTCTATTGTGTACTACAGTGTCAGGAACAATCATACTTTGAATGACTATCATTTAATACACATCTTTAATTTCTGATTTATCTGTGTATTAATCATTTAACTTCATAAATTCACATTATTTTATGACAGTGTTAGGTAATGGACTTTCTTCTTCCAGGTATCCTGTTTACATTAGTCTGTGGGACTTCTGTGGACAGCAAACAACCAAAAGTACTTCCTGATGATTTAGCTCAGCAGAACCTAATTGTATCAAACACTGAAGCTCCAGGTGATGACAAAGTGGTAAGTCACCTGTCTTTGTAAAATAAAAACAGTGGATGAATTGGCCTATAATGTATACTCTTTCTGAAATTATCTTTTCTGAGTAAAGTTCTTTTGATATCAGGCAGTTTATCATAAAATGTCATCCATCCCATGGAACAGATAAAATGCCTTTGATTCTCATTGTGACACGTGGTATTTCAATGTGGTCAGATGGCGCTACTTGATAGTGAAAATTCTTTAGCATGTCATTATTACATTTTCAAACATTTCATGGTTTTTGTGTTAGGCTTGGTTTTTTGCATCTTTTTACACTGTTGCTCATTCAGTACAATGTTGCATTTAATTAGTCACAGATCACCAGCATAATTGTTTTACATTTTTTTCCCGGCAACAGCAATAACATCACTACAGGCTTTGATCATCCTGGGAAGAAGTTTAATGGGTTCTTTCTGGCTGTGATGTGGGTTAGAAAAGAGCCTGAGGCTGGGCATCTGAAAGAGCAATGCTAGCAAGTCTCTCCATTGCTCTGAAATTTTCTAGCCCAAAATGTGGAAGAGGAACAAATGAATTCCATGTAAAAAGCATAATTGATGATTGGAGCAGAAAGATTAAGAAAACAAAAGCATGACAGTATCTAGAAAGGGATTGAAAGAAATAACAGTGAATTGCCCTAGAGTGTCCAAAAATGCAACATAGAAAATTAGTGGTCAAATCTTCGATGTTCTTGCTGATTTCTCTGCCTGATTTATTATTTATATTTATATAGGTTGCAAGGATTTATTATTGAGGCTAAAATTCTTATAGCAATGTTTTTCTTTTAATTGTAGTTGAAAGGAGCTAAATTAGACACTGAATAAAAAGGCTGAGTATTTTTTTTTTCTGATCTAGTTAGGTAAATAGAAAAGGATTAAAATAAGAAAGCACATACATGTGAGAGAATAGTGCTGGCATAGAGGGTGAGACTCCAGAAGAATGTAACTGAAGCTGTACAGAATCCTAAGAAGTTTTTAAAGAAGGCATATGCATTAAGCTTTCTAGCTTATCTCCAGGTGCCAACCACTGGCATCTGTAATTTGTTTATTCTGTGACGACACTGCATTCAATACTGCGATTGTAATACTCAGTTACTCGGGAGACCAACAACACAGATTTAGTTCCTGCCCTCAGAGAGCTTACCTTCTAACACACAAAACAAATCAAAGCATTATCTGCATGATGTTCTTTTTTTGTAATTCTCTTCTTCCTTGCTGTATTTTCCCAATGCAAACTGTTCTCATTTCAGTATTCCTCAAATGGCTTCACATCCCAGATGGTGGGAGCTTCTGGTCAGGGAATTTGTGGCACTATGGGATCAGGAGTCAAAAGTGGAGGACAAGAGACCATTGAAATGGTGAAAGGAGGACATCAGACCTTGGACACCTGCGGGGTGGCTGGGCATCACCACACCCTAGATTCCCGCAGGGGAGGACACGTGGAAGTTGACAACTGCAGATACAATTACTCAGAATGGCACAATTACACTCAATCCCGACTTGGTGAAGTGAGTTTCCCTAAGTATCCCACAAATCTCTGTTGATATGCTTCAGATTTGATAAATGACTCCCAACTTTGTGTTTACTTAGACCTTTATTTTCGATTGTGAGTCTACTTACTGGAATTTTCTTAATTTTGATTTAATTATGTTTGTATTTAAAGATTATTTACTTTTCCTAATTTTGTTTGGCTTTATTACTCTCAAAGATGGTAAAGAATATTATCACTGGTTAACTAATTATTAATTATTACTCTTATTAATCATTACATAAGATGTGATGATTCAGTTACTCTCTTAAGACTTTGTGCTACTATTTCCCATCTGACAACTGGTGTCATGGAAGCCATAAGTGTGATACAAAGCAATACATGTGTGTACCATCACTATGCCTATCTGGGAATACATGAGCCTCCATCCTTTTGGGCTCAGCATAAAGATGCATTTTTCACCATTAGCCATCATTTTGAAATGGGAAAGCAATGGTTATTTAACATGAACACTTGTATATTTGCTGTCACATGTGTGACTTTTAGAGACATGCTATATGCTGAATTTATAATACGATTTTTATGATACAGACCAATCATGTGCATTTTTTACATGTAGGAATCCATTAGAGGACACTCTGTGATTAAAAATTAAACAATGAAAGGTAAATCAAAGCAATTATTTTTATGTTAGTAAGTTTTGGTGCTTAAAATAATAATAATAAAATATGTTTTGTTTTCCCCTTGGCAGAAGGTGCACCTGTGTAATCAGGATGAAAATCACAGGCACGCTCAAGACTACGTCCTTACATATAACTATGAAGGAAAAGGGTCTGTGGCTGGTTCTGTAGGTTGTTGTAGTGACCACCAAGAAGAAGATGGGCTTGAATTTTTGGATCATTTGGAGCCCAAATTTAGGACACTAGCAGAAGCATGTATAAAGACATGAACGTGTTTTTAATAAGTCAACAAAACTCCTTCCTTTTAATTATAAACCAGGATTTAAAAAAATACAAAATGTTATGTTTGAGTTTTTTCTCCTTTTAATTTACAAAATCTCTTTGGCCAAAGACACATTCACAAAGAAACTGTAAATAAGTACACAATTTTTTTTGAATTTTGCCTAGTTTTTAATTACTTGTCTTTCACCTGTATAAATGTATTGGTGGAAAGATTAAGGAAATTTGCATTAGTGTTTACATTTGGGTATAATGACAGCAGCCAACTTACTGTGCAATAAAATTTAATTAACAGAGTCTATATTTATAGACTACATGAAGCAAAACCTAGTCAAAGATGGGAGAGAACATTATCTCCACTTAACTATTAATTATTTGTATGGTGCTTGGAAACTTGTTTTCCTCAACATTCTAAAATGTGTATATTACAGTCTTGCTCTTGTTTTATTCTTGTAATATGACCTTTCTTCATAATGTATGGGGAGATTTCTAACCAGATGTTAACTGTTATTGCAATCCCATTTTGGTGGAGTTTGCTTTTAGGTTTTATTCTATGTAGAGTCCTGCACTGAATGTACATTTTCTCTGTTACCTACATTGTCAGTGAAATTTAACTTTCAAAAAATGCTTTTAGCATGTATTTTTCCTCTCACTCCCTTTCTTTTTCCTTCTAGTCTGTCTTTAACATTTCTACTTGGGTTGGAAAATCCAAATATTTTTAAAAGTTAGTTGGTTTCTCTTCTCTTATAACGTGAATTATTCTTTTGCTGTTGTATGTAAGCATATGTTTCCTTGACTTTTCTTAAAGTCATCGTAATGGTAACTTTATTGTTTTGAGCATTTTGGTGATTGCTTCATTACCTCTTCTGCAAAAAAGCTTTAATTTTGCCATTTAAGCTATTTTATTAAAAGCAACATTTTATGTTAACAAAAAAGAATGGCATAATTAGAATTGGGATGTGGATATTTAGTATGTGATAACACATTTATAGTTCCTATTTTTAATGCAAGGATATAGTTTGTAAATGCAAAATAGTGATAGTTCTCTAGGATAACAATTTTATAACTTTTTTGATGAGAGGACTAGCCATATCTGTGTTTGTAAAATTATTTTTAATATTTCATGATTGTAGTTTTGACAAATCATAGAAATGGGCCAAACTATTTAAATTTTTAAACAATAAGACAAAATTAAATTTAATAGCCAATCAAATTCTAGGCCAAGTTTTATGGCTTGTTTCAGTCAATGAATTCTCTATGTGTGCTAACTGTATGGGCATTGTAAATGCATTTCTAATATTTATGACTGTTAATAATGTGCCTGTATTGAATTCACAAGGTTGACTTATGACAGTTATTTTTCGGAAGGAGCATTGGGTGATTGTTTAAATAACCACTTATCTTTTAATAGTTTCATTATTCCTTAGTCAAAAAATATAGCCTCCCAGAGTTATTTTTAATAAATTATGTACAAAATTCTTGCGTATTATTAATTACTATAAAGTAAACTAGGCAGTTTTTGAAAATTATTGTGAGTTTGTTAATCTTGGGTTTGATATGAATTTAAAGGATTGTGCTTTTCTGATGTAAAAAGGTGAGTCCCTTTTCTAAACAGTTTTTAGAATTTAGAGTCCGATTTGGGGAGCTCTTTGGTGTATTGTTATTACACATTTGTATAATATTACTATTTTAAAGTCTAATGCTGAGGTATTGGGTAGTTTGTATACTTTCTCTGTGTCTGTTTTTTTCATCTTAAAATGGGGGATACTAATAGAAATCCTTTCTTCAGGTGGTTGTAAGACACTTGAATAAAAACTAGTTTTTAAGCATGAAAGCCATACAGAGTGGTCTACCTAAAAGGCACTCCTGATAATGATAAATAATTTTAAATAAGTCACATACATAATCCATTTCATATTCACAAAAAAAATCAACTAAGAAAATACGATGTTTTGGAAGTGTGGCTCAAGTGTTAGAGTGCTTACCTAGTAAGCATACGGCCCTAAGTTCAAACCCTGGACCACAAAAAAATTCCTAGATTTCTGCTACCTGGCCCTTCCTCACCCACTCTCTTAGCTGTCCTGTTGGAGAGCAGCAATCACTGTGGATCATTGACAGTCACCATAGCAACCCTAATTGCTAAGGCTCCCTATAAGGAAGATTCCCTGATCAAAGTCCCAACCCCACCCTTTCTACCTGTGGGTTTTGAGACACCACTTAGACTTTCTATGCCTAGGTTCCTGTACTGAGGGAGGTTAGAAGACTACATGAAAAGACTGTTCTCAGAGTTAAAGGAGTTATCTCACTAAAGGCTGACATAGATTTGCCTTCTGTGCACCTTAGCTACTGCCATTGTTAAAGTGAGAAGAGAACACATTAGAAATGATTGTAGCTTCCTTCTCTACTCTGCTTTTCAGCCGTCAACTTGGAATATGGCTCCTGTTCATCTCTCTCAGAAGCCTGACCAGTATTTTATCTGTGATTCCTTTGGCATCTTCATGGCTCAGTATGGTTTCCCTGTCTCTCCTTCTCGGTATTCATGAAACTACATCTTACTCATCTGAAGTATGATAAATTTTGAGACAACTGAAAAAGAAGGTAAAATTTCTAATCAGCTTTCATTTGCCTCAATGAGACAAAATTCTTAGGGATTTCCCCAAATAAATGGATGGTCCTTATTTACTAGGAGGAAGGCAATGGAGATCTGTTAGTTCGGTGCAGTTTTTCATTTATTTTTTTGAAACACGGTCTCATTATGTAGCCCAGGCTGGCTTCAAAGTCATTCTCAGCCTCCCAAGTGAGGGTCAGTACAGTTTTATTTGAGGTCTCCCTGTAATCATTTTTCATTTTTTGTTTTTCTTTTGGTTTGGTTTGGTTTTTTTTTGATCCTCATCTTAAGACTAGTTTTTACCTCTTAGGCAAAATCTGATTTCAACTACAGGCTTCCTTTTAGTCTCCGTCTCTACCCCTATTTCTGGGTTCCAGATTGAAGTCTCAACACCTGATTTTACTCTGGTCAACTCATTTCATAGCATTTTGAGAAGAAAACCCCTTTTCTTCTATATGCTTAGAAATTCCTAAAATAAACATGTTGTCTATGGAGACCAATTCTGATACAGCTCTTGTGGAAGATCATTGTTAACTGTCTGGCACTTCAAGCTCATTATGTATAAAGACAAATATGTTATGCTGCCACATCAAATGAGGGCCTCCTAATTTCCTATTGAAATGTCTTCCTTCTAGTTTCAAACTTAGAATCCTTGATTTCTCTCTCTTTGCCTAGCACATCCTGTTTATTGCCTCAAACTTTTGCCAAATTTTATGAGTTTTAAACACACAATTTCATTCATGAACTAATTCATTTGTTCAACAGTCATTTAATACCTTCCTAGTACAGTCATGCATGGTCTTCTGTAACATACACTATAAAGACTACACTAGTATGAGAAAATACAAGATGAATCAGCTCCTCTCCCCACCCACATGCTCTAGTGCAGGTCAAGACATGGTGGATAAGAGTAAGGAATGGGCTACTGCCTGTAAAACACATCATATGATGCCTGGTGCGTATTAAGTATTCAACACATGTAAGACAAATTCCAGATGATGCAAACAAACTTGTACTGTAATGAGTGAACTCGTGTTCCTGCACACCCAAGTGTTCATGGGGATGAAATATAACCCACTTCTTCTAATCTTCACTCCTTTCTTCACTACATTCCTCTCAAACACTCAGCATTTCTTAGCTTCACTAGTGTGTATACTTCCAATTTCTTTCCTCTCTCCTTCTTCAAAGGACAGGCAAGATTATAGCATTTGCCTCTCAGTTTCCTATAGCATTGGAGCATAAGTTTGAAATACAAAATCTCACTTAGGTACTGCTCTCCCTGTAGTCCATAGTCTACTGTGGTGCAGATGGTTACAAATATTTATGCAATTATTGGGTATAGGAGGTGTGGAGCTGGCCTGCACCATGATATGCAGACAGTGCTTCCATACACACTTAGTGTCTTGCTCATGTTGGCTCCTCTTTTGCATGGTCTGACTCACTTATTGTCCACTTCTTTCTTTGTAAATATATGACTTGAAGATCTAGTTCAAATATCATCTCTAAACAAGATATTTGGTGTCTAGAGTACATTGCTTTAGTTTTCATATGTAGGTTTATATTGTATGTGTATTTCTTTCCTCGTATAGAAGCTCATTGAGGACAAAGAACAATGACAACATTTGCATATCTTTAGAATGCTGCTGATTAATAATTTTCATAAAACCAAATTGTATTGTCCAGTCACAGAGAAAAAATATTAAAGATTACATATTATAGTTTTTGATTCCTATATTACTTTCTCTTGGTATTAATTTCTTACTATAGAAATGGTGCATATGATTCTGTATTGAATTATTTTTTAGTATAGAGGCATTGAATAAATGGACCATCAAACATTTGCAACTCAGTACAAGAAAATGAAGCACTGAGTTTATGAAATCTCCATCCTTCTGCTTCTGCCTTGGGTAGTGTAAGTGGCAGATGGCAGAGGCACTATCTGAGTATTGCGGTTTCAGATCAGTTTACCTCTTCCTACCATTAATAACTGCATAAACCTACTTATAGCCAGCTCTATCATGGCAAAATGGAGCAAACTGCAGCATAACCTAAAAATTATTTTTTTCTCAATGTGAAACTCACTGACCA